GCTAAATAAGATTGCAACAATTTTATGACAACATTTGTGTTATCTTTATTTCTGTTTCTTATTTCGTGTACTGCAAGTATCAAATTATTTTTAATTAGTTTTGTGACCTTGCGTTCATCTTCTGTTGAGAGAACTTGTTGTGTAAGCTTTAATACTCAGTTCATGGAATATTTGTGCACAATTTTGTTCTTACTTACACAATCGGAAAGAGTCTGGAGTATTGAGAAGGTTATTAACGAGCGACAAAAATCGAGCTTCTGATTTTGGACTTTCTGTCCGTCCGCTCGTCTATCCGTGCATCCGCCTGTCCGTCTGTGGATACGATAACTCACTAACGGTTTCGAATATTACTATTTTATAAAAAAAATGTGTAGCCAAAAAAATCAAGATAGCGGTCAAAATGGCGGTAGAAAATTGGGTTAACTAATTTCTTTAATTGCGAAGAAAAAATTTGCATTTCTTTTATATGGGGGTGGTACAAATTGGTTTGTCTATCCACCATTGTTGATAATAATAATTTTCGAAACAAATAAATCAAAATGGTTCCCAAAATGCCGGTATTTTTATGAGTTGATGATATTTCAATAGCAAATTATCGAATTTTTTTTAGTGCAGTAGTATTAATAGATAATTTAATTTTACAAATAGAACGCAAAATATTGTTTACACAGCGTTTAAAACACGCGCGTAATTACCTAAGGACCTTCTAACACGGGCGACAACGCGAATTTCCTTGCTATACATGCGACAAACGTTTGGCAAGTTTTATCCAGTTTCAAAAATGTGCCAAATTCTTGACACAACAGCTTCCTAGCTCAACTCTTCACCGTTTAACGTCTTCGCACGCAGGAGATGATGCTGCGATTACCCGGTCTTTAGTATAAAGTGTGTTTATTGAAAAGTGTAATTGTTTTTGTGTACTGTGTACTGATACCTTTTATTTGGATATTTCAATTGCCGGAAATGTAATGTAAGTAGAAAAGTCATAATTTTAGTCTTTTTGTAATAATTCTTTGTGTTTTTGTACCATTTTCCTTGTGTGTATTAAGATTAAATCGCACTTTTGTGATTCTCACATTAAATTTCCGTGTGTTTCATTCACAACAACATCATTTCTAATTTACCTGGGTTTTTATTGGATGCTTGCCCAAGGTCCTTTTAATTATTCAAAATTTTGAAGTTCAGTTTAAGGTATTTGGTCTGACCCACTATCTGTTAGAAGTTAACAGGTTAACCGAGAGCAGACTCGAATCTCTCCTCTGTGCTTCCACTTTTTGACAATTAGATACGTACGCACGTCTTCTACTTTATCTTTTACTCTGAAGGTACAAAGTAAAACTTCGTCACATTTCTCCTAGAGTACTTTATTTTCAATTGCCCATAAGTGAGTAGAGCAATTTGTTATAGAGCGTAGACATGTACACCGAAAGTTTTCGCGAGCTCGATAAAGTGCAAACAAGCACAAGAGAAATAGTGGGTATGTAATACCAGGCCTAACTCTAGATATATGTATATGCAGTATAGTTTGTGAAATATGTAATTTTACAAAGTGTAAAATTTATGTTAATCTTAAAGATTACTCGAGGGAATGCAAACAAGTTCGTAATATCTGCGGCATGTAAAGTTAGAAATCCTCTCATTGTAATTCTCCACCATCAATATGCATGAGGTATGTCCAATGGACGAACATTGCGCGCCTCTATTTAATTCAGTAATAAACGTGCTTGTTCTAACTTTTAGGAAAATAAGCTTTTCAAAAAGATATTTACTACATAATTTTGCATTATACAAGCGCGATGAAGCTCTAAAGCCATAGCAAAATGATTGCATTAGAATCAAACAGAGCGGAATACATAAAACTCGTATAGAACAAAAAGATATAAAAAAGCGATTACTACCCATATCGACTTTACAGCCTCCTAAATCTAATAAAAGTGTACGTTTATACAACCAGAACCCTGCAAATGTCAACGCGGTATCTTGGATAACAATCTGACAAATTTACGTTCAACTCCCGTTTCTTAAATGTGAATAAAAGGGAAGAAGTATTTCAGCACTCTTACAAGTGCAGTTTCAGTACAAAAACACCTACCTAGGATAAATCAACACGTAGAAACGGGGTGATCACCACGCCTGCAAGCAGAACACCTTACATCAAACCCGAAAACAAATCTTAAGGATATATTAGAAAAGGATTACGGGATTTTCACGCCTGGTTCTTTTTCTAAAAAATATATAATTTCGAAAATAAGACGCTTTTATTTTGTAATACTTAAATGGATACGCTTCATTTTATCCCCGTACACGCTGGTAAAAGTTTTATTTTTTCCCTTCCGTCTTTCAAACGTGAAAAATGTATTACAGGACATAAATTCTTTATTGCAATTTTTAAATTAAACTTCGCAACTATTCCTCTCTAAATTACGACGCAAAACGGAGTTAGGCTTAGGGATTACTGAACTAGTCGAAGTTGGCAGTATAATATTCCTAAATACATTTTAAATAACTGAAGTACACTTCGAAGCATTTCCCCGCCTGTAAATGACTACATTGTACTTATACAACGAGCATCTTCAGATGAAAGAGTTAACTTGTAAATGTAAAGCACTTTCTTAAAATTTACATTTATAACAGTTTAAGAAGGGGAGAGCGTCTATTATTCATTAAAAAGGCTAAATGGAACAAATGTAAATCATTTCGGAATTGTACTCGCCGCCATAATTAAGTTAAACCAAGAAAAAGAAAATAATACTGTATAATTACAAGAACAAATTTCGCTTTTTTCAAGCTTGAACTAGTGCCTGTCACCAACATCTGATCGTTTAACACTTTCATTTCAAGTAAACGTGATGCGAAATTCTGAGCTTAACACGAAAAATGATAGCCATTTTTTATTCCCAGTTGCTTGCGCGATGTATAATTTTTTTTCTGTATTTTCCCTGACACTCAATTCCTTTAGTAGACGTTATTATTCGTGAATGCTGTATAACGTAGCATTGAAATATTGCGAACTCTTATTGCCGAAAAACGCGACATTATTAACAATTTTATACACAAATAAAATCTTTCGGCTCAATTTCGTGTGCACGCGCTTCAAAATGTCATCTTACCTTCGTTTAAGTGCTTGGGAGAGGCGAACGTAAAGAAATTGGCATATCAAAGTGGAGCCCTTTAAAAACTTGTAGAAAAGCATGTTTTAACGTACTGCACGATTTTATGTACAGAAGGGATCTGCGTCATTAATTGTGCCGTTTAGTACCCAGTATCAAATCGACATTCGAATTATTGCAACTTATATTCCATAAGCATTATGGAACACTAAAGTCAATTTGATTTTGGAGTCCCAAATGAGAAAGAATCTCGTATGCTCGTAAATGTTATTAGTAGCTGGAAGGATTTCAGCTAGTATTGATGTTACCATATGTCTGTCTGTGTATCTGTTTGTCTGTCGATCTGTTGGTACCATGTAGAAGGTTTTCTGACCGAAGCAAAATGTGCGTAGTAATTCGGAATTATCAGAACTCTTGATGATGTAGACAGTTGGAGTTATTTGTTTAAAACTAATAGTTGACACGAGAACTTTTCCTACAAAGTGTTCCAACGGAAATTTATTCTACGATACGACAAAAATTTTGGAGAGATTTCTCGAAGTCTTAAGAAATGTAAGATCTGCGTATATACCTCAACTATAAGAAGATAAGGACACACACCCCTGGTATATAATATACTATTAAAAACCAAAGAATTATTGTTTGTACAATTGTTAGATCCATTCTGATAAAAAAATAAACCAAAGTAGACATCAAGCACTTCGTGTTCATCTTTAAAAGACACTTGTCTTTGTCTCTCTTCCCTTCAATCGTTTGCAGTGAATCCTCTTCCTCCCAGTTAATCTTCCTTACTGTTCATATCGAGGCCCCTCTTTTCTGCTTTGCTTCAAATATTCCTTCGTTGTTATTGTTCTTAGTTCTTAGTTTTAAAATGGTATGGTCATGTCTTGGCACAGTCTTATGTTCTTCTGCTTGTACTCTTTATATTTAATTTTCCTATTTACGTTTCTCTTTTCATATATTGTTATTTTTAAATCTATTTATTTATACAGATTTCAACTTCAAAAATTCCGAAAAACGGGCCCATTTGGCCAGGCGAGCCAACGGCGACTACTTAAGCGATATCATATTCAAAAGGGCATGTAAACAAAACTTTTTGACCCTAATTAAATGATTTTTCGCTTGAACAGTAAAAAAATGTGTTTTTTAATGTTTTTTTTAAAGAAAATGGGTCCATCTAATATGGTCAACCCGTTAATTCTGGTGAGTAATGATTAAACTTTATCTCAGTGCGGATCTTTGAATGGGGTATTTTGTCGTATAGGTATCTTATTGAACCTCAATTTTGGTTCTGTATGGTTCGCAATTTCTTAGGATTGCTATCCCAAACCTACCGTCCAGTAATCTTTAAAGGGTTGCCTGGAAAGAGCATTCAAAAGGCTTGCGAACACGTGAAATGATTTGTTGCAGATTATTTTACTCTAATGTGTTCCATAATTTCCAGTGCGAAAATTTGTTTGTTGACTTTCATTTTCATTTTTCCATGTCTACGAATGGCAGCTGACCATGGACAAAGCGACGTATTCCCATGAATTCCCATGAAAACATGAAAAACCATTTCAGTAAATGTCATTAAAGCACTCTGCACAATAAACCTATCAAGGGCAACTTCAAAATGTAAACAATGTTTTATATTAGATAATGTGCTATAAAAATTGTATAACTGAAAGCACAGCATTATGCGTGTTTTTCAATTGGCAGTTTGTTGAAAAAAAGGGCACAATAGAACGTGGCCATTAGGATATGATTGATAGTCGCATCTGTATAAGTAAAAGTGCTCTTATTTACCAAACAATAGCTAATCAAGTTTGGGTAATGTAAATTCAAATCACCTTGAAATGTTAACTTGCACAATGGTTCAATCGAATGAATCATAGATGGTCACGATGAGTACCATCATGGGACCCGAATCGGGAAAATCGCTTACAGAGCTGTTGTTGTGAAGACGTACTGAGCAATGAGTAGCTTTATACTGGCCCTTGGCACATTTATCGAACTAATTTACTTTGGACAATGCCAACATCTCACCGATGATTCTTTGGGTAACTATGTTACATTGGGTCGATCAAAGCCAATTTTTCAATTTAGGCCTGCTCAACGTTGATCATCTGGCACCTTTCCAAGTAAATTTACATACAAGGACACGTCGTGATACAAAGATCGTATCAGATAAAAAACCTAAAGACCAACAGGAGATTAAAGGAAGCTATACAAAAATACTCGGCCCATGCTGTGACGTACAAATGAGCAATAGTTTACGAAACGACGAGTATAAGAATTTATGCTATAACAAAACGTTGGGAACACTGACCTTTACTAATCATGGCCGCTCTACCTCAGTGGATGTCGAGAAGCAAAATAAATTGGTTCAAAATCAAGTATCAGTAAGTTAGTTTTCTGAAATTAAAATTAAGAAACCCTTGCAATTTTAGTGCTACTTAAACTGTCTTGCTTTGAAATACAACCTGGTAAGTAGCTAGCTTTGCGAACCAATGATTTACTATGCACCTCAGGTGAAGACCGATGGGTCGATAATATTGGAGGGGGTAATCAAGCGTATCAATGACATTTACAATGGATCTTGGGTTCCTAATGTCTCAAGGAATATCGCAACAACGTGTTATAAGGCAACTGAACAGGCGTGTATCAATTACCTTAAGACAGCAACGGCAGATAGATGCAACCCAACATTTAGAATGCATAATTGGTGTCTTCACAGGGAGATTCAAATGAACTGTCCGAAAGATCAGATCAAAAACGAAGTTCGTTGTAATGATCTCAAGAATTGGAAATTTGACTATAACCGCTACTCCTAACAATCCGCCATTCTGACTATAACTAGATTTGAAAAAGCTGTTCTTAAATACACACGAATAAATTAATAAATATGTAGCTGCCTTATTTATCAACAGGCTTCCAAAAATTCTTAAGTAAAACCTTTGAATATAAATTAGGTAAAACCTCGAAAACTTGAGGTAGCAGACGTGATTGTTTGCTTGAAACGTTCAATGAAAAATAGTTAATAAATCTGACTGTGATAGCATCATAATATACAAACCGTGCATTGGGAATCGAAGCGTGAAAAACAGGCAAATTCACGTAAAATCATACCCACAATCGTAAAAGTGAATTAGCTCTACCAAAACTATTCGTTTCCTTTTGAAAACTACGATATTCAAACATTCAATTACTACGTATAGTTTCAGAACGCTGAATAGTTTCAAATACGAATTCAACTAAAATGTTGAATCCGCGACTGCATAGAAATGAAATTACCGAACTAGTTTCGCAAAATAAATATTGAATATGTTATGTGCATGTTACAGCTTAACTTTGCATTTCCATTTCTATGTATACACTCATGAAGAATTAGTTACCTGCAACGAGATATTTAGATGCAAAGTTCGCGAGTGGTTAAATGTTTGATATTAAAAGCAATACAAACTGCGGCGCTGTGAATTTATTTTAAGTTTAAATGACTTGGCAGCCATGATAAAGACATCTACCATATTGGAGAGTTTGGTTACTACAAGGATTAATATTTTACTACGTGTGGGTTTCGTAAATCAATTAGTTGAATCAGATTGAAGTTTTTGTATCAGTTGCTACTATGGTACATAGTATTATTTAGACCTCGATTTAGACTTAACCCACTATGATCTGATCCCATCGAGACTACGTGAGATTACCACCTCCATTGAATGCAATCCATATTTTAGTTTTAAAATCACTACTCATCATAAGCGTTCAGCGCCTTATTTGTTAAATGACCTAACGGCTTTACTTTCGTTTTTCGATATGCTCTTCCCATTTTTGTACAAAAGATCCCAAGATTACTACTCCAACACAAATTTCTAATCTTGACGAAATTATATGTCTATTCTATCTAAGTAACTCTTCGATTTATAATCTCAATTAAGTGATACTCGTACGCCATATAGGTATTTTCTTTGTAAACCCGTTTAGTAAAGATGTAAGTTGCTATGGTAGATTTGTTAATACCCTAGTTCTTTGTTTGGCCGCTAGAGGCCATCCGAGTGTTATAGGTTTTATTAACCTTTATTCTCTTGTCTCTTGTCACGCTTTCTACATTGCTGCACAACTCCATCCTTTCCTTAATTTATATTCTTGGGTACAGTTGTATTTTTCTCGATACCTCATTACTGTTACTTGACCTATTTCAACCTGAATAAGGGCTTTTTGTAGTGGATATCATCATAGTTCTTTGGAGTGTTTCTCTTTATTTCTGATGTGTTTGGGGCTGTTCCATTGAATACGCTTAGCGGATTTATATTTGCAAGTAATTAGTGTGCGGTATGTAAAGATTATGACTCAGGATTATTCTTAATACGCATTTAGGGCGTTATCGTTCCTCATACTTCTCTCATGGTTCCCTCATAGTTTCTCCTAAGTTCTCATCGTTCTCTCTTTTTAATTACTTTTTTCATTATCTACATTGACACAAAGATCATACTACACATTGACATTACCTACGCAGAACATGGATGACACCGCATTTTTACATGGACCCGCTGTGTTAGTGGGATTGACATTTGCGACGTCACGTGTTACATTTTGTCTACGTTACTTTTGTTACTCAGAAGATTAATTAATTTATTTATTTATTATCCCTCGCATAATGATTTTTAGAGGTGCCCCTACAGAAGGTCTTAAGTGTACCTTACGAATTAGGAAAACTGCAGGAAAACCTAATTCGGAGTACCCGGCAGTATGCTCGAAACGGATCTAAGCAAATTCCCATCTCTGACACATATGAAAAATTTTTACCTCAGCCCAAGTTCCGGCTTTATAGCCCAACGCTCTACCACTACAAAGTCGGTACAATGTTGGTTTTATTACGTTTCAGATTTGTTTGTAATGCGATGATATTAGTACCTTTGCTTTGTAATTGTTAATTAATTAAATAAGAAACAGTTTACCAATACCTTCTTCAGTTTATAAGTAAAGATTCGGGATTTGAAAGCATACAATATGTTGAATTGGTAGAGCAGTTTAGTTTGAAACCAAATCAATCAGCTATAAAAAAAGTACTGGTATAGGTTATTTTAAAATTACTGTTACTAAATAAAGTAGCCATGGTAACATATTGTCGTAATTCCCGAATTGACTGACTTATTCGTCATTTGTTTAATTATAATTTCACGTCACAATGGTATAGTTATTCTACAAAAAAGCATAAGTACAAATTATAGTATTTATTGTACACAGGATGTACCTTGCTCAAATAGAAAAATTTCCTATTGATGTAAATCATATAATAACGAAATCGCAGTTCATACAGTTCCTTTTTCTATAATGGTTCGCGTTTCTATTTTTGTTGCATCTTTATTAGCACTATTACAGTATGCGTATGGCTCCGAGAAAGTGTATTACCGTAAGATATATTTTTTTTTGCATTTTTGTATCTCGCCACCATTGTTCAACTCTTCAATCTTATTTTTGAAGAACGAAACCATTTCTTATTATTTAATGTCAGTTTTATATAGTGAGAGTAGGGACACCTTTGACTCTCAATAGCTAGATCCTTCAATGAGTGCCTTTATTGGTTAAAATTTAGTGATTGTCTTATTTGAGGTTGAAAAATTTAGCTCAATAAGAGCCCGAGGTATCTAACCACTAATACATCAAGTCAAAAAAACACTAAATTTTGATTGGCAGACAAGTAGGACATCTTTTACCATACCAAAACTGGGTCGTTCAAAAATTAAATTAGATGTAGATAACTAAACGTTACATTTTTTTATATTGCAAATGTAGGCGAGACCTTAAAGGAAGCGCTCACAGGATTTGAAACGGAGCATACTCGTGATCCTTATGAGTCATCGGAACAGTTACACACCCACAAAGAATCTGGAAAAACACAAAGAGCCCACAAAACGACCCAATGTTGTACCATCGATGCAACATCGCATTTGAATGAAAACGCATCATTTATACGGGAATGCCATAACCGGACACTCGCGAGGCACAACTTTACTAAGTACCGCCTGTCGCCGGGAGATCGAAATTCAACAGAATTTAAAATGAAACTGCAGACCTTCGAAAGTTACGCATTGGTGAGGCTGTAAAACTACTTCCATTAGCGTATATTGAAATGTTTGTTTTAGTGCTATGTACAGTGTATGCTACAAAAGTATGACGCGGTAAGAGACAGCCCAAACTACCACGTACTAAACTGATTTACCTTGTAGGTCAATAAAGAGGGAATGATTACTCTCGATGGAATTGCCAACTTCTTCTCTCTCATCTACAATGGTACATGGGTAACACCGTTTACTAAGTCAATTGCCAACACGTGCTTCCAGCAAGTTCGTCAGCAATCCCTCGAGTATGTCCGTGCAAAAAATATAACGACGTGCAACCCCGCTTTGATAAGTTTACACAACTGTACCCTCAGGGAAGTTCAACTGAGTTGTCCGGCAAAATATATAGGAAACGTTACAGCTTGCGAGCTTTTAAAGAAGCAAAAAACTTAAATTTTTGCCACAGTAAAGCTTCTGTTAAAGAATTCTATTATGTATAAAGGATTTTACCCACAATCCTCATAAAACCTTCGTTTTCATGCCTACTTTATGTCAGGAAATTTTAGTTTCCATAACAGAGACAGACCAGGCAACTTTTCCTGTCGCCTGTCACTTTACCTGTCGCACCTGTCCTGGTAAAATTTGTAATATTCAGACTATGCCCCTGATTCGTATATATAATTACATAAACATGTTAATTCCTTCATTCCTTCTTCCCGAAGACACCTTAATATCACCACTGGAATTCCATTGTCAGGACAACTGATTCTTCGGTTTCCAACTCCAATTGTCTTGGTGTTTCATGTGTTTTATAGAGATATACCACTGTTTCCATCGAGTTCCTTTCTTCTGTCAGTATGTTTCCATGCCTGTTTTCCACCTCTATGCTACAAACAGCTCTTGATGGTCTATCCCAGGTAACCTCTTGACTCCTATTGTAATTAATATTGTGCCTTCCCATCCAACTGAGATTTTCTATTTCATTACATTGATTGGATTTTCATCAGTTTCTTTTCTCATAACATTTCGCCTCCGATATTGTCTCCTTTTGTATACTTCTTCTACTTCCTTATCCTCATGGTCAGTGGCTGTCATGGACACTTGGATCACTAACACTTACTTTGGCACAGGGTTTAGCTTTAGAGCCATCACTCTATCACGGCCATAAATTACTTTGGTTACAAACCTACTCTTTTTTTTACTGTTCCTGTCCCTTTCATCTTGTTTCACTTACTTCAACTAAATCGAGTCTATTTTTAATAATTTCTCGCCGTAGATTTTCAAGCTTTTCCTCTTTCAGTTCTAACGTTCCAAGTCCCCATCCAATTTACCTTTTTCCTTCTCCTCATTTTTTTCTCTTCGTATACGGTCCACCCCGGAGATCCGAATTGGGCACTATTTAACACTGGAAAGTTTAATATTCGGAGAACCCATATTTCTTTTCATCCATTTCTGGCACATCTCAAGGGATACCCTGAGGATTTAATGGAGTGGTTTTCCCTGGCCTCGAAGAATTTTTCCGCCTGTCAAATGATTTTACTTCCTGGACAACAGGGTGTCCTGAACCCGTACCCGCTCATCCGCCCTCCTAGAAGCCGTTAGCACTCGGTACAGGGCTGACTTCCCTTGGTCGGCATCATCATTAGTGCAAACAGGCCATACCACGGGAAGGTATGAGGTCGCCATTGTCATTATTGTGATCAGGATTCTTTCTGGTTAAAATGATCTATGATTACATTATATTAACACCCGCACGTAGGTAAGGCAGGTATGTATTGCATTGTGATAAAAAATGACCCACTTTTTTTGACGAAAATTTGTTTTGAAACCAGGAAGCCGAATCAAACTAACTATTGATGAAGTCAGTCCGTCTGTACTCTCATTTTTGGCTACACGACTGAACCGATTGGAACCAAATTTGGTACACATATTCTTAGACATAAAAGAGCAGAATTGCGCATGTGCAGGTGGTAGCCGTGCTATCTACAGCAAATTTTTCTTTGTATTGCGTTTTTATAAAACTTCTAACTTTGGAAACGAAATACGATTGATAATGATAAAGAAGGTCTTTTATAACTAATTAGAGCTCGCAATCTTTAACTTTCACGTATAATTGGTATAAATAGGATCGTATTTGTATTTTACGTTTCAGTTGTTTGCTGATGATGACATCTTTGCTGAAACGCGTGGTGGTGTATCGACAAGAACATTCTTTATTGAATTATGGTGTGAGAACCAACACAAAGCGACAAAAACAAGATTATGAAAACTGAAATCATCCAAAAAAAGTTCATGGAAATTCAGAAAAACCTTCTCTTGCACAATCAAGCACGATTGGCATTTTACAATTTTTTGTTAACCTCCATACAATGCAGCAGTTACTATTGAAAAGAGTGGCACCATTATGCAACAAATATAAAAAGATTCAAAGGTTCTTTAAATTGAAGCACTGATTGGCTAGTCGAACTATATAAAAGTCCTGTAATATGGTATAGACAAAAAATGTCTGTTCGCAGTAGTTGACCTGTGAAATCACCTTGTCGACACTTTCGCTGGTATAAATACGAACTACTCAAAAGCAATGGCTAAACTGTAGTTTACCATGAACCAAATAATACTTACCTTAGGCGTTTTTCTGAGTGCAAGCAGCGTGGTGCAATGCTTTAATATTTACGCATCGTATCAGGTTCAGAGTAAGTTCCATTTTGACGACTTACAATTGTTAATTAATTACACTAGATCAAAGCTTATTCGAGGATATCTTGGAACTAGAAGCATCAAGTGTGGCTTCCGATGGTGATGTTCTCTCCAGAAAGCGTCGTGATTACGGCGGCACGGTTACAGTTACTAGAAGCCGAATGATTCACTCAAGGGGTGGGTATGATCCTTGCTGCAGGGCGGATATGAACCAGCGTTTTAATGTTAACTGGGGTTACGTTCGCGAATGTTATTCGTATCCGAATCCAAAGCACAACGTTACAGTTCACTCTGTACGTACGCTCAATCGAAATTCCACCGAATTCAAAGAAAAAATTGCGATCCTTAAAAATGATGCCTTGGTAAGTCCTCCTCTTGTAAAGCTCGTCTAATACCTCCAACCCTTTAGTGCCAGATACAGTGCGTCGCACACAAATACGACATGGTACGTAATTCTAATAATTTCAGTAAATACAAGTGTGGTATTTAGGTCGACAAGAACGGAATTGTAGTCGTAGAAGGATTGAACAAATTTTTGTCGACAATTTACGAAGGTACCTGGCTCGCACCGCTCGCAAAGCAAATCGCTACGAAATGCATGAACGAAATCCAGACGGAATCCGCGAATTTCCTCAAGACTAAAACAGCGAACGCTTGCAATCCTGCCCTTATCGCATTGAATCAGTGCGTGCACCGAGAGGTTCAACTGAGTTGTCCACCAGAGCACATTGGGAATATTGAAGCCTGTTTACAGAGAATAGGTGCATATGGCAGATTCTGATTCCACTACCATTGTTATAGAAAATAATCTTTAGCTTTTACTTTCTTTGTTAGTGTGGAGTGGGTTACTAATTTCAATAAACGTTTTCTTTTTGGCACCATCTTGGTCATGCTTTGTACATGTTTTACGTACGTTGTACGTTTTTGTGGTAGATACAGTGCAAACCGCATTACGCAGGAATAGTTTTTAATATCCAATGGTTACAATTACAATAATTGGTTATTAATTAACTCCAGTGTTCTACTAATCAACTTAAGATCGAGTAAGAGCTGTCCACAACTGGCTCAGTAAAGGAAATTAATTTGATTCATGCTGTTGAAGTACAACTCACTTTTGTAGATGGCTAATTTCAGTTTGTCCAAATGTGACGGTTTTCCTTCCGCAAAATAAAGTTTTTATCCCTAAAAACCAAGATTTTTCTACTTGAGAACCGACACAGGGCGTTCTATACATTACTTTGAGTGATATAATGCATGGTGTGGATCCAGATAACTTAACTCAATTCGTGACGCACACCTTGAACTACTCACGAGATAAAGCCCCTTGTTCAATTTCACGTCCTTCATTTGAAAGAGAAATTACATCATTAATTTCCAGGATGGTGACGATTTTCGGATCTTCTTAACATGATCCATGATTATTGATTTTTATCTTGTAGTAATATATCAGGACTTATTTCTGTACTCAGAACCTACATCAATTCTCTTAAAATGGAACAATCTTGCTGAAAGTCTTGATTCTAAATTTATTGATTTTTTTATTATACAAAGCATTATATGATGTGATCGAAGGTTTCCAATTAAGACTAAAATTGATATCTGAATTTTTGAGTAAACTCCCACTCTCTAAATATTAATTTCTAAACAAATCAGGTGTCCAGAATGTTCATTTGGGAAACACGGCCACATAATACCCAAACCTTGTCTTTCTCCTAGTTTCTCTTAGCCCCTTTAACGCTTAAGAGTGGGGAATTAACGGTTTTACGTGTTTTTTTCTTTGTAATTTTCAATTTTTTTTCTAAAATACTGATCAGGATCAGATCTGGCCGAAATTGAGTATGACAAAGTGTAACTGCGTACACATAAATTACACATAACGAGCGCAATTTACCATATAAGATTGGAAATGTTCAATAATATTGAAGACCAAAACGTGGTAGTTGGCGCACAAATTACACCGGTCAACAAAAAAATAATTTTTTTTGCGCATGGGATTTACATAATATATTCTGACTATGATAAGCAAAAATAAATAAAAAGTGCGATTAGACCTCGAAAATATTTGCTTTTCCAAAAGTTAGAGCGATTTGATTGAAAGCTTTCATGGGCGAAAATTAAAGCTGGAATCTTTGTTTTCTCTCAAATAAAAAGAAAAATGGAGGGTGATTTTTTTCCCGCGGTTACTTAGCAAAGAGGAAAAAAAATCCTGGAACAGTTTTAAGGCAATAGTCCATGGTTTCCCGTTCAGTGCTTCCTGGGAAACCATAAAGCTGAAAATTATGACGAGCTGACAGTATTTGGTTTTGCATCATCGGGTATAGAACGTCTTAAAAGATGCACAGGTTACATTCTCATTTAGATTAATTTAAGGATAATATGGGAGCTTATTCGGAATAATAAGGACAACATTTTCATCAAGACATAATGAAATTTAGGCACGTTACCAAGGCCAGTAAGCTAGAAGCATGATAGAAGGTCATATTTGGGGGGTTAATGAGAAAAACTTCAGTTGAACATGACAAAAAAGCAAAACTGTTCCATTTTTAAACATTTAGACTCTAAGATAAACAAATTATAAACGTAGGAACGTTACCTTTTAATAAAGCATGCCTATGTAAGTAAGATTTTATAGGTATTTTTATTTTTGGTTTTTTGCATTTTTTTCACACAAAAACAAATATATAACCTTTCTTTGTTCTAATTCTTATTTGTGGCTATACAAGTAATAAAAATAAGGTATATATGTCCCATGCGCAAAAAAGCTGTAGACCAGTGTTATCATAAAACTAGCCCATCTTTTCGGTTCTGATGGCATGTAGGAGAACAACTGAGACGAGTCTCAAAACTCTTTATTCTTTTTTAAACTAATGCTTGAGGTGACTACTTTTCTACCCTTAGGATATATTTTTTTAATTGTGGAGAAGCTCTATAGTGGAGGAACGTAATGTGCTCCTAGGTAGTGCACGGGGTGTCTGTCGGGGAAGGAGATTTCGAAGAAGAAGAGGAATATTTCTTCTTTTGCTGTTAATACAAAGAACAATTTTCTAAACTTTCTCTGTCCGTCAGGAAGAAGCAGGCGTCCCTATCACTCCAGAAGGAACGTCCATTACTTTTCTATCATTTAAATATGGTTAGCAAGTAGTTATTTCTGCTCTTGATACATAGAGCACCTATCTACTGAAAAGGTGTGGTGGCCCTTATCTGACCATCAAAGCGCTACTGGAGTACACAGCACACCCCTGATGGTCAAAAATATTTTAATTAATTAATGTAACTGTGTACAGCTCTCTACGACTTTTTTTCTATATCCTTTATGGTAAAGGAATTGTGATTCGAAGGGTCTTACATGCTACAATCTGTACATGTGAAAAAGAGCAAGTCCAATCATTTTACTGGCATCCAAAATGTGGCTTTAGTGACTTACCAGAGTTGAAGAAAGAGAAATAGTAAATAATTCATTTTTTAATAAAATTGTTTATTCTACGCGCTCCAGTTGGGTAATTTAACCTTCGTATAACCTCAATAGGTGAACATAATGACCGTAATGGCGCAAAAAGTTATAAATATGCTTTAAATTGTAGGTACAATGCATGATCACAAGTGACTGATCAGAAGATGCATTGAACCATCCATTAAAAAAAACACACAATGTTGAGGTAAAAACGCTTGGTTTATGAGTAATGTAGCCTTGTAGCAGCATTAGACGGTATATAAACATGATTTTCAAAACATACTTAGGAATCATTTAATCATGAACCAGCTAATACTAATATTGGGGGTTGTGCTAAGTGCAGGCAGTTTGGTGCACTGCTTTAATATTTTTAAATCCTACCAAATTCAGAGTAAGTTACAGAGACTGACAAAATAACGTTTTGTTTGGTGAAAACCATAGATTTGACCCTTTTGGAAGATATACTAGAGTTGGAAGCATCAAGTTCAGATTCCGATGGAGCCTTTCTCTCTAGGAAGCGTCGTGATCAAATAGCCGTTTCTGATGGTACAAAAAAGAACACGAAATCCTGGCCGTACCCTTGTTGCCAAGCTGGTATAGATCCAAAGTATACTATAAATTGGGAATACGTTCGCCCATGTTATGCAATCCCGAGGCATTATGTTACACTCCACCATATAAGATCCACTGACCGAAATTCCAAGGACTTTAAGGACGGCATAGCGATGATGAAGAATGATGTCATGGTAACTATCACTAATTACGAATTTACATTATTAATTAAATCTAATTCTCAGTGCCAAATCCAATGCGTCGCACAGAAATATAATATGGTACAGTATTTTTTAATAATCATTTTCATGATTACCGTTTGATAATATTTAGGCCGATAAAAACGGAATTGTAATACTGGATGGGCTAAACAAATTTATGTCGACATCTTTAGAAGGTACATGGATGGCAACGGTCGCGAAACAAGTTGCGACGAAGTGTTTCAATCAAATTCAAACAGAGTCCAACAACTATCTGAAGACCAAAACACCAACGACCTGCAATCCCGCATTGGCCACATTGATTCACTGCTTGCACAGAGAAATTGAGATCAATTGTCCTTCGAAATATGTGGGAAATATCGAGGAATGTTTGCGCCAGATAGATTCAGATTACAAACATTTTTAGTAGGTTTGGTTCGTATGAAGATATTGTTTAATTTGGTAGGACAAAAATTTCTAAAATCGCTAACTTACTAAAACAATATAAGTTTAATACGCAGAGAAAACTCATGGAAAAGAATATTCATTGTTATCCATTCCGCCCTCACTCCACGATTAAACGCTTTACCCAAATTCCAAAAATTGGCTGCACAGTTGGACCGATTGCCCTGCCCTACAACGCCCCTTAGCCTACTATCAAAACTTAAATCGCCACTTAGTTCATATAATCTCAATTATCAATTCCATTGCCAATGAGATGATCCAGCTCAATCTCAAAGACAACCATGGCGCCTGCCATGGAGTCATGCTTCATTTAAAAAGAAATTACATCATTAATTTCCCGTATGGTGGGGTGGACCTTCTGTACGTGATTCATGGTTTGTCGCGTTTCCAATTAAAGATTCTGCATTTATTCATGTATAGTAATATATGAGGAGCTATTTCTGTACCCAGTACCTACATCAATTCCCTTAAAATAGAAAAATTTTGTAAATTCTCAATATCTACCTACTGGCAGAACACAATAAACAAAGAGACTTAAGTTTGGGATAATTATTCAACGTTCCCTTTTTGTTTAAAACTGCTGAGATCTTAGGAGAATACAATGTACGAAGAGATATTTCTGTTTATTTATTTTATTTATTTATTATCCCTCTCTTGTTCTGGGCCCTCAACAGGCTTCCAATTACAGAGTGACCCGCAAAAAAACTTTTTAGAGTTGCCTCTGCAGAAGGTGTTAAGTGAACGACGGTTTCCAATTAAGAACGAAATTGCTATCTAAATTTTTGAGTCAACTTCCACCCTCTCAATATTAATTTCTAAACAAATCAGGTGTCCAGAATGTTCATTTGGGAACTACGACCACATAATTCCCAAACCTTGTCTTTATCCTATTTTTTTCACCCTCTATAACGCTTAAGAATGGAAAATTATGGGCTTCCCGATTTAAAATTTTTTTTTTTGCAAAATACCGACCAGGATCGTATCACAAAGTGTAAGAGCGTACACACAAATTACCCACAACGAGCGCAATTTACCATACAAGATTGGATGTCCAATAATATTGAAGAATAAAACGTGGGAGATGGCGCACAAATTACCACAAAACGAGCCCATCTTTTCGGTTCTGGCATGTAGGAGAACAACTATGATGAGTCTCTATCCTGTCTTAAGCACCAAAAAAATTCTTATGTCTGCAGAACATGTGAGATGGTATACTTTGCTACCCTTAGAATACTTTTTCTTGAAATTATGGAGAACCTTTGTAGTAGAAGAACGTAAGGTACTCCTAGAGCATGCGGCATCTCTCGGGGAAGCTATTCTGGATTCTTCCAAGTATTTCTCCTAATTAAAAGGTTTTTTTCCTTTCGGCCTTGGTACGTGTTCAGTGCACAGAATTGTAAGCCCGTCCTTTATTTAATTTTATTTTGCTAATCATTAACCTTTTCCCAGTGGTTCCACTGAGGAAGGACAGCAAACTGCGTCCGAAATATTTGTATTACCAAATAAAAATACTAAACGAAGTCTCACTTTTGAGTCTACTCACCCTACAAACCTTCACTTCAATTTCTCCTTATCTTTTGCTGCTAATCCAAGGAACAATTTTGTCCTGCCAGGAAGAAGCGTGCGCCCTATCACTCCAGGAGGACTATTTCTCGTTTTAAATATGATTTCTGCTCGAGATACATGAGTATATTAAAAAAGCCGCAACTGGAATGCAGCACGCCCTTGCTAACCAAACAATTTTTCTCTAAGACTTTTTTCTATATCCGTTATGGTAAAGGAATTATTATCCGAGGGGTCTTAGGTTTTTACTGGCATCCAACATATAGTTTTAGTGACTTACTATAATTGATGAAAGGTAAAAATACTAAATAATCCTTTTTTTAATAAAACGATTTATTCTACTTGCTCGAGTCTGGTAATTTAACCTTGATATAACCTCAATAAACCAACATAAAGACCGTTTTCATTATGCAACGACGCAACCAACCATAAATAGGCACAATGTATGATAACGAGTGACTGATCAGAAGATGCATTGAATCGTCCATTTAAAAAACACAATATTAAAGTAAAAACGCTTGGTTGCTGAATAAAGTAGCCTTGTAGCCGCATTGAAAGCTATATAAAGATAACTTTGAAACGTAATGGGTTATTTAACCATGAACCAGCTAATACTGATATTGGGGGTTGTGCTAAGTGCAGGCAGTTTAGTGGACTGCTTTAATATCTTCAAATCCTACCAAATTCAGAGTAAGTTACTGAAATTGACAAACTAACGTTTTCTTTGGCGGAATTCATAGATCAAACCCTTTTGGAGGATATACTGCAGTTGGAAGCACCAAGTTCCGATGGAGCCTTTCTCTCTAGGAAGCGTCGTGATCAAATTGCCGTTTCTGATGGTTCAAAAAAGACCACGAAAACCTGGCGGTACCCTTGTTGCCAGGCCGATATGGATCCAAAGTATATTATAAATTGGGAGTACATTCGCCCATGTTATGCAATTCCAAGGCATCATGTTACAGTCGACCATTTAAGATCGACTGACCGAAGTTCAAAAGACTTTAGGGATAGCATAGCAATGCTAAAGAATGATGTCATGGTAACTATCACTAATTGCAAGTTAACAGTTAAGATTTTAATCTAATTCTCAGTGCCAAATCCAATGCATCTCACAGAAATATAATATGGTACAGTATTTTTAATTGAGTTTTCATGGTGACCGTTTGTTCACATTTAGGCTGACAAAAACGGGATTGTAATACTGGATGGGCTAACCAAATTTATGTCGACATCTTTAGAAGGTACATGGATGGCAACATTCGTGAAACAAATTGCTACGAAATGTTTCAATCAAATTCAAACAGAGTCCAATAACTATCTCAAGACCAAAACACCAACGACCTGCAATCCCGCATTTGTCACATTGAATCAGTGTTTGCACAGAGAACTAGAGGCCAATTGTCCATCGAAATATGTGGGAAATGTCGAGGAATGTTTGCGCCAGATAGATTCAGCTTACAAACATTTTTAGTACCTTGGGCTTCTATGAAAATATCGTTTAATACTATTTTTTTTAGTAGTTAATCTAATAATTATGGTTATGTGTTTTTTTCCACAAATTTGAAAATTTTAAGTTTTTAACCCTTCTTGCAAATAAGTAAAGAAAAATAAGTTCGGACATTTAAACCTTAATTTTGGAAGGGAGTGGTGGGAATTTGCCGCGATCACTTTGGAACACAATAAAAAAATAAATAATTCACTTTGATTGCCAATGCATTTTTGAAGATGAAGAGGTAGGCTGTCAAATGAGCGCAATGTTATTCGAATACCACTTACCAGTCATTAGAAAGGGAACTGGTCAACCCCACTTTGGAACGGAATACGCGGCCCGTAGGGAAACAGTAACATGAATTAGTTAGGCATTGTATTTTTCAACGGATAAATACAATGGTTATAGATAGGAAGAGATTCTGACGGTGAAATTCAGTTTATTTTTTCCGGTAAAGGTTTTATCCACTTTACATCGTTATACAGCAATATCGCAAGTTTTCTTCATGTAGTGAAAGCTACGAGATGCGTCCTTCTACACATAAATCTCTGAAAGAACCACCTAATTTTCTATTTTGACCGCAGGGTGTCCGTAAAACACTAACAGTGACGGAAACAAAATTAAATTACTTGAGAAAAATTCCCATTCTCGAACATAAATAACCAAAAATGTTCAGTCTCAGATGTTGAACGCACGGTTATTATTATAACTTTGCGAGAATAAATAACTTTCAAGTGGTTGTTGCAGACGCGATTTTATTGGTAAAAGCTACTATAACTACGCTACGATACTATCAGCATTTTCAACCGTCGTTTTTATACACCACTCTTAGAAAAGGGTTTTTTAAAGCACGTGTCGACGTTAATTAACATAGCATCGTTAGGAAATTGCGATATCCATTACAATGGTGTAATAAAATGTAAAAAAAGAAACTTCAATTATCCTTTGACGTAAACTTTTTAATAACCTCCGGCAAGAAGTACTCGCACAAAATTTAAATATATATCTTTTACATTTAGATCAAACGCGTTATATTACTTTGGTTTTTGTAAATGTGAGTATATTTTAATGGAATGTCACGAAAGTTAATTTGTTTTGTTTACATTCCATATAAAAAAGTTTTTGATGGATTTTTATTTGCGTGCAATATTTCAGTGGAAACGAAAGTATGCTTTTATTTTTTCAATCTTCAGGGGTTCGTGTAAATATCTTTATTTTAGTGGTTTCCACTTATCTTACTATGTTTTGGGCACCAAAGAGATCATCTGCAGGTCAATTATGTGACGTAATATCGACACTTGTTAAACGACAACAACGTTGGTTTATAGCATAACATGATTATTACTGTTTTCTGCAGTATTATGCTGTCAACGCTGCTTTTAGAAAGATCAATGGAAAATTAATAAAACCTAATGAACTAGAGTTGAAAATAATAGGTAACTTGATCATTTAAAAATCCTTTGTAAAGGGTAATTCATATATCCATATGTAAGAATTAAAGAATGTAATTCTAAAATATTAATTATCCCACTTCTTCTAAATGATAAGAGCTTTCGGTCGCAACAAAGACAATTGTAATATCTTGACGGGAACGGATACAAACGGTGAATTAACTGCGGCGTTATTTACGGTAGTGGCAGCTGAAACAAAACCCTAGAAATTAAATCAAATACCTTTACTTTTTATCTTCAACTCCTACAAGCAACACACTTACTTTCAGTACGACGCTCTTCGTAACGAAGCGCCTCTATATACAGGGTGTAATTTCAAGGCGGAAAACTCATTACAGTACATTGTTCGAGGATAAATATCCAGTAAATAAACCGCAACTTTTTCTGAAAAAATTTTTTTTTTAGTACAAACTGAAAATTGTGAAATCTCTTGGTACATTTAACGATTTTTCTTATATTGACCATAATCAATTTCAAGAACATGCGTGCACCTAATACCATCACCTCTTAGTCTTAGGATATACATTGAGTTTCTCTTCTCTTTCGACTTTTCTACCAGTTTTTTTTACAGGGTGGAAAAAGACTCGTTGGATATCGGCGTACACAACGACATTCCGAATAAATACAGCTCAGACTAGACGGTGAGTACATTTATTAAGAAACGGTACATTTAAATCACAATATTCATAATGTAGCAAGTAAAAATATATTCTAGGCTTTTTAGAAGTGCAATTCGTCATTTCACTTAACAGTTCACACAGTTTTGAGGAGAATTGTGAATGTTTTGCTTTAAATGACTTATATTGGTACCTGTATGATGAAAAAAATCGCAAATCTATCAAAATATGCGCTTACGCGTTTTCAGCTTTTGTAACATAAATATTAAATAACTATTACCGAAGTATGCACACGTCGCAATGTATTTCACTGAAACCAGAGTGGCCTTGGTATAAGTGCATTTTAAATAGAAGAAAATTATTTGTGACGGAGTGGCAAAAATACAAACATAACCAAACGTAAAAGCCCTTTTTCCCCCAGGACTGTCATTTTGCGTTTCCCCGATAATTCCTTGCCAATCCCTATATACATTTCCGCCGCAAAAACAATTACCAACCCAATTACAGCGACGAATATTAAAACCAGAAATCAAAGCCGGCGATGTTATGATTAAGATAATACCATTAGGGGCCTACGTCTATCTCATAATCCATTAGAGGGCTTTGTGTTGTGAAAACGTGTAAGCGTGACCATAGATTTGTATTCCACCTCATGCATAACTGCAAGGGTTGGTTTATTAAGTGGCGATACGAATCCTGAGCGCGGTTCAAAAGCAAATGATATTCCGTTTTAATGAAATAAATGCGGAAAAGTTTCGCCGCTTGCTAACAAAAAGAGAACGCGAGCAAAAAAGCATTGCGGATTTTGTCATTAGCGGGTTTAAGCAAGATGCATATTTAAAAACGTTAATTACAAAGTGCATCCACCGTAATTAGGAAATAACAAGAGTGTAATTCTGAAAAGCCGCCAGTTTCGTTATAAACTGAATGCTAAAAGTACGAAGAAGAAGAAGTTATTTCCGGCTCTTGCTAAGTTCTTAAACGTCACATCCGGTTCCCGTGCGACTGTGTTAACTACAATCTCGGCCTGATGTTCTTAAACAACTCTCGCAATGAATAATACACTCCGAATATTTTAAAGTATAAAATGGGGGCGTCGCCTTGGAAAGTGTTTCAACTTTGCAGAGGAGAAACTTTTATTTCTTTTCTATATAACAAACTTAACGTTGGCATTTGCAAAGAAATGCGCGAATACCCTAAATCCGCAGTTCCTTTGTTTGATGGAAGTTAAAATGTAGTTACTGCATTAATCTAAAGAAAATTTTAAAAGTATTTTATTATAGAAATGGGGGTTCTATTGACAATAATTATTGTCTTTCGAATGAAGTTCGGAAAGTGTTTTTGTTTGGCGGAACTTAATGGAGGGAGGGCCCGAAAGTTAGTTCACGACGATTCAAAAACTCTCGGGGCCTTTTTTCTGTTTTAATTACCAGTCACTTGTTAAACATGAAACCCGTATGTGCGCCCATAACATTTCATTCATTATCCTTAAGTATTAAACTCGAGGGATTATCGTGGGCAACTTGGATTATGGTATTTAGGAACCACTTCCAGATCAAGTATAGGCAATAGCAACTGAAATGTTCAACTTACTATTCTTCAGAGATTATTCAAAGATTTTTTAGAAACCCTTCACAGATTCTTCAAAGGTTCTTAGCGAACTCCATACGTAGATTCTCTCCAAGAGCCTTAAAATGTTTCTAAAATATTCTACACCAAATCTTTAATGGTTTTCCACAGATTGTTTAAAACTTGCATGGAGGATTTTCAGAATCCATTCGGAGATTCCTAATCAACCCTTCAGGTGCTCTTCCCAGATATTTTAAAGCTTCATAAAACTTCAGATTCCATTGAAATTCCTAGATGTCACCTTGTAAAAGTACGGAGAAGTGGTTAAAAGAAAACGTACGGGAGAGAAAGTAAAAGAATGGCGTACGGGAAAGTTAAAGGGAAGTGGGATATACATAGATAACGGATTAACTTATTAAGAGAGAAAGATACAGAGAGAGCTGGCTGAAATAGAAAGAATAAAGATAAAAAAAGTGATATGAGGATATACGAAATTAATGATAGAAAACGAAGAACCAAGATAGAGTAAAGAATAAAAGTGAAAAAAAAGGCAATATGTTTGCGTTTACTAGAAGAATCTTTGGTTAAAATGTCAAAAAGTATCTCTATAAGTAAGGTAGTTGGCATTGCCCAGTTTGCACATGCTCACATATGATTCTACAACAGGCGATATGCTTGTCTTTACCAGAAGAAAAAAAAGAAAAATATCTCTGTAAATAAGAAATTCCACACGTTGCGCAGTTTGTGCACGCGCATATCTCAATTTTCCAATATGCAACATGCTTGCCTCTAGTAGAAGCATCTGTGGTAAAACTGTCAAAAAATATCTCTGATGTAAATCAAAGAGTTGACATTACCCATTCTACGCATGAATAACCTACATTATTCTTCAAGATTTCTTTTAGTTGGGGTGCCATAGCTAGAAACTACTGAATGCAAAAAGAACGAACCAACTATGTTAAAAACTGTATTGTAGAATAATGGATGGAAGAAGAAAAAAATGAGAAAATAAAGAATACGATTGGAAGATCAACTCTCGAAGAGAGATAATGGTATCTTGGCAGGAGTAAAAAAGGAAAGAATACAGGAAAAAAAAGTGGAAGTGTAGGGGAATGTGACTCATAACTGTTTATAACAAAGAAAAAATGGAGGACTTACACAATAAAATAGAAAATATAGTAGCAGAAAGAGAGGAGAAGGGGTTAATATTGGGGTGAACTTTTCATTCATGAACAGTAAAGCACGGTGAGAACAAAGTCAAGAGATAAAGAAGGCAACAAAGGGGAGAAGTTATTGGAATTATCATAAAAGAGAGAATGAAGAATTTTAAACTGAAATATGAATGGAGGTAGGGACAGTTAATTTGCATACATGGGAGGAAAAAGGAGATCGGTAATTGATATATTTTAGTAAATGAGAAAATACTCGGAGAAATAGAAGAATTTAAGATAATAACAAGGATAGAATCGAATCAGCAATGGAAATGACCCTAAATATGAATATAAGAAGGTCAAAAAAGGGAACGAAACAAAAAAGAAGGGGGTACAGTTATCGGCAAGAGACACTGAGAAGTTGT